CCGGGCTGGCAGCCCCATCTAGCATCCCTGTCCAGGAGGATGGGTGGCTTCACTGTCCCCACAGCCTCATCCTCTGGCGAAAGTGCTGAGCTGGGCACGCTTGTGCAAGCAGGGTCAAAGCTACAGGACCTGGAGCAGCAGGTGGTGGTGCTGGAGGAGCAGTGCCGGCAGAAGGAGGAGCGCCGCGTCGACCTGGAGCTCAAGCTGACCGAAGTGAAGGAGCGGCTGAAGCAGTCACTGGCGGGGGGGCCGGCCCTGGGGCTGGCTGTGACTGGCAAGGCTGAGAACGAGGTACGCACCGCTGCTTCCTCAGTTTTGTGGCTCCAGCATCCCTTGGGGTGGTGGGGGGGAGCAGCACGTGGGAAACAAGGGACATCCCTGCTGCTTTGTCACATTGTAGATAGAGGTGGGAGGAAAAGCGTCAGTTATATTTGGCCACAGCAGCTTTGACCTCGTGATAGTTTGTGCTTTTCTTTTTCCCTGGCTGTCCTTGCTCTCGAGGTCTCCTAACTCCTTCTCCTTCTTGCTCCCCTTTTTCCACAGGAAGCTACGAACAAGCCAAACGGGAGCCCCCCTGAGCACTTGGTCCCCGTTAACTGTGCAGCTGAACTGAGGAAGAGAAGTCCCTCCGTCCTCCCAGCCAACAAGGGAAATGTGCTGCGGAAGGCCAAGGTCCTGCTTCGCTCCCCCTCTCCTCCCTGATGCCATGGGAAAGCTCATTCTTTGTCCCATCCTCCTTGCTTGACCATGAAATCTGGGGACCAGAGATGCTCCCTTCCCCAAAAGCAGGGTGTACTGCCAGGGTACCCTGCAGCCAGGCTGGCCCAGCTCAGTGGCACTCTCTGCTAGCATGAGCCTGGTTTGCAGAGAGATTTGGGAGGTGTGGGGCTGGGTGGACAGAGAGGAGAGCATCGCCTCTACGATGACCGAGGCAGCAGTGACTCCAAGCTTTGAAGATACTGGGGTGGTCCAAAGCCCTCCAGTAGGGATGGATGCCCTCAGAGGCTCAGTGCTCACTTCTCTAGCGATGTCTCCTCATCCCCCACTTTTGCCCTTTTCTCTGCAGGAATGGGAAAAGAAGCAGACTTAAGCCGGGCTGCAGGAACGCCCACCAAGCCCCCAACGGACACTGGGGCTCACAGAGGAGCTACAAGCCCCCTTTCTCCGAGGCGCCAGGAGGGTGCTGGGAAGGCATGGGGGAAGAGGCACCCTCCCATGCCCCGCCATGCCACCACGGTTCGCAT